ATTCTACGCAAAAATACTGTCGATGCAAGTGAAAACTGTGACTTTTGGCTGACATGCTTTTTCGCGCTTAGAATATAGCGCGGCACTTTTACATCTCGAATCGCACTGAGCCTCTCTCGAAACTCGACCCATTGGTTATGCAGGTGCATTGGCAGTGATTCATCCCATGCCAATTTTTTGATCCACAAGTCTTGCATGAAGATTTTCGCCTTTACTATGACCGGATTCAGGAGACCCAGCGGATCGAATAAACTTGACAACTCTGCTAGCACTACCCTTTTGTTAGCACGTTTTTTGTGGACAGTAGCTCTTGCCAGACATACCTGAAGTGGTCCGCTCCTGGTTCCCAAACAATGCCAAGAGTTTTAATGATTTCGACATCGTTAACTCGTATTGGCTTCTCCTTTTCACCTTCGTCTAGCTGCAGCATAAAACAAGCATTGTTTGAATGCCATTTGCGTAGTGTGAAATGCGCTGAATTTGTTAGTGCTGATACCTCACTATAGACTTGCATTAATTCTGCTTCTGTATCAGCTCCGCTGATGAAGTCATCCATGTAAAAATCAGATAGTATTTTCTTCGATCCCAATGGAAAGTGCTTCTTACCATCTTCACCCAACTCCTGCAGGCAACGAGTTGCTAGAAAAGGCGCTGCCGTTGTCCCATAAGTTATCGTCAGCAGTCGATATGCTGCAAGCCTTTAATCGCTGGAGTTTCTCCACAAAATCCCTTGATAGTTGCAGTCTTCGGCAGTAACCCATGCTTGTCTGTACATTTTTGTTATGTCAGCTGTAAGCGCAAATTTGAAGCACCGAAATCGCAGCTTTGCAACTACAATCAAAAACTACTCGAAGTTTCGTACTCGTGGACTCCGGGCGTAACACATGTTGATGAGGCGAAAAATACTTCAGCTGCTCAAGGTCTGCTGCCGCTACCTTTGCCATATGCACGAGTTTTATATACTCCTCAATAAAGTCAGCATATGCTTTTTTGGTGTCTGAATCTTTATTAAGCCGCCTTTCCAATGCCAGAAACCGCCGCTCAGCTGTGTAAAACGAGTCTCCAAGTTTATCAACGTCGCTCTTAAATGGTATTTTTACGACGAATTTTCCGCTGTCATCTCTGCGCACGCTCTCGCGAAATATGCGCTCGCACTCTGCTTCCTCGTCAGTTAAGAACGTAGACTTCGTCGATAGTTGCTCCATCTCCCAGAATCGCTCCACCAAGCTGTTAAGTTTTTCGTCTTGCTGTTCCGTTACGACTACGTCGCTTACCAGGCTTTGAGCCCTCACGCGATCACCTTCGACTATCTGTGTGCTACCGGACACTACCCAGCCAAATACCGTTTTTTGCAATCGAGGTACACCGTTCAACAGCTTTATTTGACCTACGCACAGCAACTCCAGAAATATTTCTGCACCTAGCAACATATCCACCCGTGCCGGAGTATTAAAGCGTGGATCCGCAAGCTCAACATTCTTGGGAATATTCCAGGTGGAGACGTTGACATATTGATCAGGTTTTCTTGATGTGATCTTTGGCAATATATAAAATTGCAATGCTACTTCGTAGATGTTGACGCGTGACTTTATCACTGTATGAGCCTTTTTTGTTATGCTCGT